CTGTAGGAAAAGTGATCGCCATCATTGCTACCGAAGGAGAAAATGTCCAGCCTGTAGCAAGTCCGGCTGTTGCTGATGTGGCACCAAAAATCGAGGAAGTAGCCAAGGTTATTGAGGCTGACATTCCTGTAACTTCTATTTCGAAGGAATCAATTTCTGGTGACAGATTTTATTCTCCATTGGTAAGAAGTATAGCCAAGGAAGAAAAAATATCTGGTGACGAACTCAGTAAAATAGCAGGTACCGGAGCACAAGGCCGTGTAACCAAACATGATATCCTACAATATGTAGCTGATAGACAGAATGCACCAGCTTCTGTAGTTGTTCAGCAGCCAATGCGTGCATCTACACCTGTTGCTGTGCCAAGTGCAGGCATTTCATTCTCAGGTAGTACGGAGATCATAGAGATGGACCGTATGCGTAAGCTTATCGCAGACCATATGGTCATGAGCAAACAGACATCGCCACATGTGACTTCTTTTGTGGAGTCGGATGTGACCAATCTTGTAAAGTGGCGCGAAGCCAACAAGCGTAAGTTTCAGGATAAATATGGTACAAATATTACCTTTACACCATTATTTGTAGATGCGGTCGTAAAAGCCATTAAGGATTATCCAATGGTCAATGTCTCCTTGGATGGAACGAAAATCATTGTCAAAAAGGACATAAATATAGGAATGGCTGCCGCCTTACCAACCGGAAATCTCATCGTGCCTGTCATCAAAAATGCAGATATGTATAATCTCGCAGGACTAGCCAAATCGGTCAATGATCTGGCGTCTAGAGCAAGGGAAAACAAACTCAAGCCTGATGAAATCAAAGATGGTACTTTCACCATTACCAATGTAGGTACTTTCGGCAATCTCATGGGCACACCGATCATCAATCAACCACAAGTAGCGATTTTAGCTACTGGAGCGATCGTAAAAAAACCTGCAGTACTGGAAACCGAATATGGTGACGTCATCGCGGTAAGACATATGATGTTTTTGTCATTGTCATATGATCATCGTATAGTTGATGGCGCCTTAGGTGGTGCATTTCTGAAGCGTATCTCCGATTATCTCGAAAAATTTGATCCAAACACACTTATTTAAAGATGTTAAAACAAATTTCAATATTACTTTTTTTGATACAGATACTGACAATGCCATGTGTGGTGTTTTCACAAAAATCTCAATTAAAGCAAGGTGATATTTACTTTGAAGCCGGAAAATATGCTGAAGCAA